CACTAGAAGATGCGCTTTGATTTTTCTTTGGAAAACTTATTAAAAAGAATAGATATTTTTCTCACCAAAAAAATTATTTAATAATAATAATAATAATAATAATTTTATTTGAAAAGCACCTTTCAAATAAAATCTCCAAGTACCCACTGCCTGCCTCTCCACCATGGGGAGCAGGGCCTTCACCTGCTCTGACACTTACAGCATTATATCATCATAGAAGAATGTGTGAAATTACAGAGACAAGCTGGCATGAGTTGCAGAGCATGGATTACAAATGAAGTTAAGATGGATATGCTAATTTAAAGAGATGTGTTTTCAAAGCAGACTTGAACACAGGAAGAGAGGTGGTGTTTCTTAGGTCAGGTGGTAGAGAGTTCCAGAGGAGAGGTGCAGAGCAGGTGAAGGCCCTGCTCCCCATGGTGGAGAGGCAGGCAGTGGGTACTTGGAGATTTAGGGAAGAAGAGGATCTGAGAGAGTGGGAGGGGGTGGAGATGTGTATGAGGTCAGACATGTTAGGAGGGGCAAGTTAGTGGATAGCTTTAAATGTGAGAAGAAGAATTTTGAAGACGATGCGTGATTTGACCGGATTGTGGAGCTGCTGCAAGACTGGGGTGATGTGGTTATAAGAGGAGGTTTGGGTGATGACACATGCAGCTGAGTTCTGGACCATCTGAAGCTTATGGAGGGATTTGTTGGGGAGGCCAAAAAGAAGAGAGTTACAGTAGTCAATCCATGAGGCCACAAGACTGTGGACAAGGATGGCTGTAGTGCAGAGTGTGAGAGAAGGACGGAGACAGTTGATATTTCTGAGGTGGAAGTAGGCAGACCGAGTAACATTATTGATGAGAGCAGTGAAGGAGAGAGTGGTGTCGAGGATGACACCAAGACTCTTGACCTGAGGAGAGGGGTTAGCAGAGAGTTGTTGATAGGGATGAGGAGATTTTTAGATTTTGAGATTGAATTTTTAGTGCCGACAAGAATGATTTCTGTTTTATCACTATTCAATTGAAGGAAACTGTCTGAAAACCAGTGATTGAGTTCAATGAGACAGTCAGTGAGGATGGAGGGAGGGTGTGTGGAGTTTGGCTTGGTTGACAGGTAGAGCTGTGTGTCATTGGTACAGTATAACAATGGAAACGGACACCAAATTTGCGGAAAATGTAACCAGGAGGAAGGAGGTAAGTAATGAAGAGAAGGGGTCCAAGGACAGAGCCTTGGGGCATGCCAGTGGAGATGGGATTTTTTTTTTTTTTAGTTTTGTGTGTACAAGAGGTGTAAACGCTAAATATCAGTTTTTAACATTATTAAATCTTAAATTAGTTTAAGTATTGTGGATGGGACTTGAGAGGGACTCTTTAAAAAAAAGCTAAAGCTCAAAATCCCCAGATTAAATCTTATATCTTTTTTTTCACACAGTGTGGCACCTAACCAGCACAGTGCAGTCGGACTTGGTTTCAGATAAACAATAATAACTACTACATTTTTTAACTACTTGTTTAAAAATGAAAGTAAAACCAGACCGATGCTAAAGGCCCTGTCACACTAGACAACTTATGTCAACTTAAGAACATTTTAAATACATCTACATTGTAGATGGAATTGAAAAAAATCAAAGGGAAGCTTCTTTTTGGTGTGTACATAATGTAATTTGAAGAAATTGATCAAATATATAACTTTTATTAGCAGTTTAGACATAAAAATGTTTCATAAGTTGTCTAGTGTGACAGGGCCTTTAATAGCGATCCAAAAACCCTGCAGACTGCTGATTGGTCAAAGAGTCAAGGCTTTAGGCTTATCTTCTCTGCATCGATCACTGACATTCTTCCCTGTTTTATAGACAGTTTAGCACAGATTTTGCCATATTGCTGATGGATCTCTCTTTTTGTGCAAAGACTACGTTTTTTTGTGTGCATTTATTAATATGAGCATAATTAATAAGCACATGTACAGACTGATCTCATTTGGTACAGCCGGTCTGTTCTGTGCTATTCTCCTTTTCACTTGTCATTTTGACTAGAAGTATCTGAGAAATCGATGGATTGTTATGCACGCACGCACACATAATGATGCTGTATTTTTTGTCGCAGTGATGTCACGTATGCTTTGATGAGAAAAAATTGTTGAAATGCTGTGGAAACCAAACAACTGAATTTTATTCTCCTCATCTCCAGTTAAAAAATACTTCAAATTACCAAAATACTTGAAAAAATATTGAAAGTACATCAAATTACTTTCTTGGTTTTAACATCTGTTTTTGGCTCAGAGTCACATGTTAGGTTTTTCTAGTTCATGTTTACCTGTTTGTGTTGTTTACCCATATTCCCTTTTTGGGACTTTTAATGATCCAGTCTCCCACTTTGCTGTCCCACAGAGCCTTGTGTTGTGGCTGTGTCTCTATTTTAGTGGGTTTGTTTGCATACTCAGTGGCTCTAAGTGCAATTAGCTGATTGGGAAATGTGTGTATGTGTGCAGGAGACAGAGAGTGAATCCTCCCTGGAGGTTGGAGGCAGAGGGAGATGTCTCAGCAGTTACTTCAGTGTAGTGGTTCTCTGAGGAATAACGCGTGTTTTGATGCATCTAGTGCTCCTGGAGCTGCCTGCTTCACACATGCACGTTAACACACACTTTCACACATACTTCCCGGCACACAAGTCCTTGTGTTTCCTGATCCTGTTACCTTTAATGAAGAAGAGGTGTCAGGGGGCAAGAGGACTGGATATGTGTGTGGGAGTAACCTAAGTGTTAAAGTCTAAAGTTCTCACTCTCCAGGCTTATCAGAAATTGATAAATTTTACTTTAAGGTCACATGGCAGTACTGTTTTGTTTCACTGAAACACTTTGCCAACAGATTTAATACAATTATTTAAGCTTAGGATGTTTTAAATTCACAAATGCTCATGGAAAATATTTGTATTTATGTTTAAAATAAATATTTTAATGTAGTTTATAATTTGGACTAAATGTTTTAAGTGTGTTGGATTTATATGTAATTTTTTTTTCAAGTGAATTAAGAAGCATGCTTTTAATATCTATCCTAAGAAAAAAATCTAGAGGTCTAGAGAAAGACCTTCACCTATGTTTTTTACATCTTCCATGTGTTTCCATAGCATCCAGCTCACAAACAGGAACTTTCTTCATTTTTACCTCCCGTAATGATGTATGATTTAGTGGACATCAGTGGTTGTCCTCTTTTTATCCCAGTATTGACACCATTCAGTGATTCACACAACAAACAATCCCGTAAATGTTCCCAGTGATGCCAATTATGCCTTGAGGCACTTCTGTTAAAAAGATAGACTTGGGCTTCCAGAGAAAATGTGTCCTCAGTTCTATAAAAACAAGTCAATGGCTGCCATTTTTCTGCAGTTAAAGGACTGATGTGGTTTAAAGGATTGATTTTTTTTTCTACGTCTGTCTCAAGGTAAAACCTGCTTGTTTGTATGTTAATTTTTTTCTTGGTTACTACAATCTTCCTCATGTTTTTTTTCTCTTTTTGGGTTTTTGCTTAATCAGCAGTGTTTGTAGCTGCAAAGACAAGCCCCTCTTTTTAAGTTGCATTTGGCATAAATTTGCCATATCCTGTGACAATTTGATCTTAAATTGAAGTGTACCTCATGGGCATTGACACAGATCACTATGCGTAAAGTGTGTGTCAAATATTTTCAGTTCTAATTAAATCTTGCAACAAGCTAGGCCCCTTGTCGTCACTACATCACACTCTAAACCTGCAATACCAGCTTACCTTAACATATTGACAGTTACAATTCTGAGATTGCCTCCATTGATGGCTTAGAGGCATAACACCAGCAGGTTGCTTTCAACCCAACTGTGTCATTTTTCTTCCATAAATCACACCAAGATGGGAAAGAAAGTGTTAAAAGCCCAGTTGAACCGAATTTTCATACAGGAAGCTGTACATAAAGGCCTAAGAGCAGGGGTAGGCAATCCTGGTCCTCGAGGCCGCAGCCCTACAGGTTTTATGTTTTTCGCTGCTCCAACATACCAGATTCAGACATTGAATTACCTCTTCCAAGTTCTGCAGTATGGAGGACCGAAACTGACCTAACTAGAAAAAAAGCAGAAATATATAAATGGACCAATAAATAAATTCAATTAAAAATGTAGCAATTAAATTAATAAAGGAGAGCTTTATCTCACGTTTTATAATTTAAGTCACCTGCATATTTATTTTCCCAACTTAGTTACAACTAATAATAAATTTTCCACATAATTTACATATATGTGTGTGTGTGTGTGTGTGTGTGTGTGTGTGCGTGCGTGCGTGCGTGCGTGCGTGCGTGTGTGTGTGTGTGTGTGTGTTCTGCTTTTTGAATTACATTGCTGCATTTTAAGTGTATTTATTTATTTATTAGTCAATTTATATATTTCCGCTTTCATTTTTAATTATGTCAGTTTCGGTCCTCCATACTGCAGAAGCCTGATGATCACCATTCATTCAAATCAGGTGTTTTTGAGCAGAGAAAAAAGTAAAACATGCAGGGCTGCGGCCCTCGAGGACCAGGATTTCCCTCCCCTGCATAAGAGGGTATTTCACCTTCAGGGTGGACAAAAACAGCTACAGTTTACATTTGCAAATAAGCGTGTGACACTTGTAAGAAAAGAAAAACTCAATATTTTGTTTAATGCTCAAGAGGTGTTGTCAGTAATCAACAACAGACGCTTAGAATTAGTGAGCTGTAAAATTTGGCTCTGAAACTGCTGCTCTGTATTCTGAATTGGTGAAACACTTCACATGAAAACGGTTGGAAACAGTCGATATAGTGGTCCCTCAGAAGTTTGACTGAGTCCTCGGGCCCCATCTGGGCTTCTCTGGTTTCACACAGGCACTCTGAAAGGCTGCCAAGTTTTAAAAAAGGTTATTTATTTATTTTTAAGCAGTGGTGCATTGGTATGTTTTCCTCATTTTCTCTAACCTCTTCCATCCCACCCCCCCMCCCCCCTTACACACACCCTCTTTCTATCTTTCACCTCCCCTGCAGATTCCCTCTGCCGGCCAGTTAATGGAGGCTGTGCACGTGAAGATGAAGGAGAGGAAAGTGCTGACAGAAGAGCTGGCCGCGCTCGCAGCACCAGTCAGCGAAAAAACCTGACTCCCTGGGCTGAGGCTGGGAAAACTGTCATCCTCTTCTTTTCCTCCATTCCTGGTTCTTTTTTCCTACCCTGTTCCTGCTCAGTGGGAGCCAAGCTGAGCCGGGGCAGCAGAACCAATATTTGTGAGAAAAGCGCCGTCGACTGGCTCAACGCAGCACCCCGACTTTTGTAAATGAGCCCTCGACATCTGTGTTAGCACTCAGAGCACTGTGTCTATCAGCCAGGGCCCTTTAGTGCCAAACTAATTTAAAGTGCAGCCACTCTCAATGAAGACCCGGGGTAATAAGGCAAATGCTTACACTAATGTTTTAATTACACTTTTTTTTGTAAACTTTATTTTACCACTCCCCTAATTTATTTGGCACCTTGAGGGCTTCTTAGTGTGAGAGTTGACCTTATGTTGCCAAGCTGACAAAAGTAAAATTAAGCACAAAGAAGTAAATATACAAAAATTAATAATAATAATCAGCTTGTTTTGTATCTTTTTTTTAAATGAAGGACAAGGATTTATTTTTGAAGGACATTCAGTGTTTACCTAACTAAACATGCTAAACATTTGTAGTTATTTTGTTTACAATAACTTTGTCATAATTTGTGAATAAAAGTTAATTTGTGCCGTATTTTGACTCATATCTGTTGTGTAAATGTTTTGTGCCTCGCCCTTTGCAGCATTTCGAAGGAGCGTCAGTTGGTGTGTGATGAAGACCGAGGGCACTCTGCAGGACAGCAGGGTTCTTGCGCCTCGCTCATGATTGACAGCTGCCTGTTGGCATGGTTCCTGTCTGTAACAAGTGACCCCTGCTGTTGACGTCATTAATAACAGTCTGGTTGAACGCACACATATGGAGCGGGGCTTTTGTGGACGAGAGCTGCTTTCAATTCCTTTTATCTGTTCCTTTTCTTTCCACCTCTCTTATTATTCATTTTGAATATTAAATCGTGATCCTGGTCTTCTCTGTCCTTGAGTTAGCATCCTACACAAGAGGCCTCACACTCCTTTCAGATCGCATGGTGCTCTTTATTTTTTTTCTACTTTACCTTTTTCTTTGCTTTGTTTTCCTCTTTTACCACTTTCTTTTTGCAATGTATAATTAAAAAAACGGTGTGAGAAATCCTCCGTTCAGGAATTAAAAAGAAATAATTCTACTTTCTAATCCTCTCTCCATCCCCTCCCTCCACAAATATATGCTAATGATGTCGTTTTCCTTTATCTTTTTATAATAAAGGATTAGGCCAGGACTGTCTCTCGCTGCAACTCAGGGACCAATTTAGCTGGGATTCAGGAGAGACAAACCCCAGTGGTTAATTACCATTCATTAACATAGTTTGCATCTTTTCTTCTTCTCCAATACCCAGGAGTCAGCTATTGTCAATATTTGTCCCATATAAATTTCTTCAGTCTCTCTTTTTTTTTCCAGTCATTGTCCTCCAGCGTAATGCTGCTAATGACAAACATTAATAAATCAGTGAAAGCCGGTGGCACAGAGTGGGTAAAGACAGGCAAAACATCAGCACCACACAAATTATCCCCCACCTCTACCTCTTGCTAACTCTGACCGTCTTTTTTTCCCCCCCACTCTTCCGTATATTGCATAGTCAACATATTTGCTCGCCGAGCTCCGCCATCCGGCCTCGGCTGACGCACTCGTGCTATTTCTGTGACATATTCAAATGTGCGGCCCCCTCCTCAGCTGCCTCTCCCCTGGGTTTAATTAACCTGGCCTTGCCTCTGACGCTCCCACAGTGAAGACGTTAAAGTGATCTTGAAAACACCCTTTGTCCCACCAGCGCTCCCACCCTCCTCGCTCAACACACACTGATACATGATTCATCCTTTTTTTTTTTCCTGTGTAGGAATGGCATCTTTTCTCTCTTTTTTTTTCTTTCTCCTCGTCTTCCTCCCTTCTCTTGTATAGATCTCATTAAAATGATTTCCTGTGGGACCTACTTTGATCAAATGCAATGTTTTTTTTCCACTTTAAATCTTCCAACATAGTCGTCTTGGTGTCATTTTCTTTACTTTTTCTGTCACTTTGTTTTGTTTTGTTTTGTTTTTCTTTTAACCCAACTTTCCTGTCCCCCTTTTTTTTCCCACAGATCCTTTCAGGTTCTTAAAAGGGTAGAGGAGGTCCAAACCGGTGTGCAGATAAAAACTCACAACCTTAATGGAAAAAAAGAGACAAAAGCTCACATTTCTTTATTTTTAAAACACTGAAAATATGATATTTGTGACAACGTATTTTTTATCAGTATTTATATTCACTCAAGCAACGCTGAGCAGTTACTATGTGTATGAGTTTGTTTTAACGTCATGCAACATGCTCACATTTGTAATGTGTTATATGTGTGATACTTTATTAAGTGTGGCTACTAAAAATTGTATAAGTTGTGAGGTTTTGTCTTGTGATCATATGTCAGAGAATTGGTCAGGACCACAGACTGACTTTAGGCTTGATCGATGATTTGTGAACACATACTATATATTTGGGGCACCTCACTTCCCTTTGTCTTGTGTGCCACTTGAGCACTGTATCAAAACTCCCATTTCTTCAGCCTCCAATCAGTTCACAATTAGTCCTTGCAGAATTCGTCAGCCAGATGTGGAGCGAATAGAAAACAGCCGCCAGGGATTTCCCTTTACTTCACTGACACAGTTTCACACTCCAGCTATTGCTGCCAATACATCAGTCTGCTTTGATTTCACAGGCGCAGACACTTGGCACTGACTTAAATAACAAGGTACTTGTGACATACTGCCAAATGTGTTTTTGACAAATCTATAATGCAACATGTTTACTGTTTTCATTGTATATCCTCCGAGAGGTGGCTCAGTAACAAAAGACAAACACTGTGGCTTTTACTGTAGGAAGTGACGGTGTTCATGATAATTATTAACAGCAGCTCCTCTGTGTTTTCATTTATCCCGTTCTTTAATATTAGATCAGATGGCACCTTGGAAAGAAAGAAAGGAGTCGGACTCTTCTGATGTACATATGCCATGTATACAACCTCATTGATCTTCACTTGAACAAGTCCCTCATCTTCTTCTGCAGTGCTGTAGACATGAAACGGCCGTAGATTATAGGTGAATGCAGTCCGCCGTGGGAAGCGAGGGAGCAGATAAAAAGGCAAGCAACTCCGGGGAATAACTCAATGTTTTGATGTTGTGTGATAAAATAGAGACCGTCTCTGTCTATGTATACTGTATGTACCGTATTCAGGTTTCGCACCTTCACTCTCACTGGTCTTATTCATAGTAAACAAGCTCTTCTTGCACTTTTATTGTTCTTTGACAGTCATACTGTTGCATTCCCCATGAAGAGTCCTATTGCTCGTGGCGGTTTGAGCTCCTGTGGAGAAAAAGGTGGAAAAAGGAAAAAAAAGAATTCAATCTGATCTTTTATCCACAGATTCTTAAAGTCTTCATTCTTCAACATTACCTCAGAGAGAAGAGAAAGACCCTCTTCAGTGTGACTGCCTGAACTCTGCGGAGCTTGTGTGATTTATCTCAGATGTGTCTTCTCAAATGATGCAGAAAATGGGGCTCATAAATAAGACAAATCAGAGTGTCGCAGCTGTTTTTATCCTGTGAAATATACTTGCTGGTTAAGCGGGGCACTTACAGTATTTGTTTTGCGGTGCTGTTTCACACTTGCTCAGACCACATCGGTCTTCATTTGTCCTCTCCGTTGCAGAAAAGGCAGCTATTCTTTGTTTTCTGCTTTAGCACATAATCGCACCGCGGTCTGGGATGTGTAGCCCCCTCAAAGCACCTCTCCACCTTGACTAACTTTTCCAAGCGCTCATTAGCGGACTGGTTGAAGTTTGCAGGGTATGAAGCAGGCTGGCAGATTACCCTCCCTCCCTCCCCTGTAAAGTAGCACACCTCAGGTGATCACACTAATGAATTCATGAACCCTCCCCAAACCCACCGCCTTCCTCACTCGCACTTTTTTTTCTTTTTACTGACTTTTCTGACTTTCTTCCACAATGGCGGATTGGTGCAGAAAGTGCCAAACAACAAAGTGTTTGTTTGCATAACATTAGCACTGCATGCTCGCACACAGTGGCGGGGGCCTGACTGCAGGACTGACTTGGAGGCCTCTGTGAGCACAGGTGGAGCAGGGCGAGCATCACTGGGACCAATTAGAGCAGAGCACAGGTACATTAGCATGTTTGAGTGGAGTGGGATGGCGTGGGGATCGGTGGACCTCGTGAAACACACACACAACTCACACAAACATGATCACAGGCTGGCGTGCGTTAGCCGTTTGTCTCAAGTGACATAACCAGCATATGTGTGACAAATGACCTCTTGTCTGCTGGTTTCCTTTGTTTGTTGTTTCCCCTATCAAATCCTGCATAGACTTTACAGTATAAACTCATTCTTCTTAAGGTGAAAGAACTTTATGTATATTTAAACCCACAACCGCCAGGTAATAATTAAAAAATGAATATAAAAATTACATTTATATAAAGTTATTTTCTAGTTTGCAATCTTAAAAATAAAAGCAATAAAATGAAATTTATTAACAACCATTTAGCTTCCACAAATTTAGAAAAACCTGCTATAATACCAAAGTTATAGCAATAAATAAAAGACTTTGTATTCCTTGCATGTACACGCACTAACTACCTTCAGAATATCTCAAAGCAAATCTACAACAAAATTATCTGAAATCAACTGTTTACACCAGAGACTTGTGAAATTAGGCGTTAAAGAAATAAACCTTTACTCAATTTAGAACAGGAACTGACATTAAAGTTCCAAAATGTTCGGATACAAACTCTGCAAACTTCGGTTGTGGTCAGAGGTTTATGTACACTCATCATGAGTATAAATGTTGTATTTATTTGGGATTATTTGCTGAATTGTTCAAACTGTGCTTTTTTATTTTTATTTTAATTTTTGAGGGAAATGATTATACAACATACAACATATTTACTTATTATTAGTTATTTAAAAAAGGGTCAATATTTTACACACAAAGTCAAATATATAATGTTTGGTAACGGGTTTCATCTTAACCACTGTTTTTACAGTCATCAATGGATATTTGACCACTTTCTTTGCAAAAGTGGTATACTGTCACAGACTCAGCTTTTTAGATTAATCTTCAATTTACTTTGTAATTTAGGTCGGGTCTTCGAGAAGGCCTTTTCACATATTTAATTTTAGCCTGATTTATCCATTCAGAAACCAGTTTTTATGTGTGAAGTTAAAACATTTCGAGGTAGTCCTTCTTTATTAATCTATCCACTTTGTGCAACATGCCCTATCACAGCATGATGCTCCCACCACCATGCTTGACAGTTTGTACAGAGTTCTTAGCTTTAAAACTGGAGACTCCTCCAAATGTACATCTTGTCATTGTGACCAAGTAGCTCCAGCTTCATCTCGTCTCACCATAAACGTTCACTTTCCAGGAGACAATTGATTTGTCTGTGTGAGCAGCTGTACATTTCAGTCATTCTTGAATGTGTCGCTTTAGGAGCCAAAGTTTTTCTGGGCAATATCAAACTATTTTAAGTAATACAAACTCTTGGGTCTTCACACTTCTTCTTCTTCTTTTGACCCCTTTCTTTATGACTGCAACTCCAACAACTCAGCTGTAATTAA